ACTGGTTATACTGTGGTGGAGGTACGTTCGCGACGCGTGCCCCAACATGCCTCCTGCTTGCGTCATCGGCCAATACCGTCGCTCAACTCGTAAATAAAATGACGGTATTGGTCGTTGGGGCGAACAGGAGCATGCGTGGCATGCGCGCGAACTCAATTCTTGAAATCGTTCAAAAGGGAAACGTATGCACGAAAATTATGCCCTCAGAAAAAAAAAGAGTTGAAAGTCGATTAGTTAAAAACTGTGCGAATAGCCAATCGACTTGCAACTTCTATGTAAAGCCCGCTGCGGACGATGCTATTTTTTCCGCTGGATTGCCTGCGATTTACTAAATTACTAGGAATCCTGAGTGCTGAATGGTGCAACGATAGTAATTTATTAAGGCCTATAGGCCTGTGTCCACGATGCTAGAACTCGGTCCAAGCTCTAGTTTCGGGAAACGTGTGGCCAATCAGCGTGCAGCTTTTATGGAATAGCTGCAAGTTGATTGGCCACACGTTTCTCGGAACTAGAACTTGAACCAAGTCCTAGTATCGTGGACACAGGCCCTATGTTCACGATGCTAGAACTTGATCCAAGTTCTAGTTCCGAGAAATGTATAGCCAATCAACTTGCAGCTTTTATGGAATAGCTGCGAGTTGATTGGCTACACGTTTCTCGAAACTAGAACTTGGACCAAGTTCTAGCATCGTGGACATTGGCCTTTACCGCGTCCAGTGGGCAGGAGCCATTACGCGGCGGCTACGCCGCGTGTGAACGCGCCCTGACTTTCACGGAGGAAACGTCGCGATGCGTTTGCGAACGCGCGAGACGGCACGCCATGTTTGCAGCTGAGGCATGTAACTGGATGTTTCATCAAAAACATGGCTGAATTATTGTCCCGTGGTTCAGTGAAATTTTGTGTACAGTAAAGAGAACGATCCGACGCAGAACGCACGTGAATTGAAGTCACTATGACTTCGATTCATCTCGTCGTTCACCCTTTGCCAGGCACCGACGATCAACTTAACGATAGGTGAGCAATTTCATCGGCTATCTGTTCGCCGAGAGCGTAACGCGTCCCGAGCTCGGCAGACGGAAGAGACACGTTTCTTTCCCCCCGTTTTCGAGGCGTGCCGTTTGCGTTGCAACGTGCTACGACGTGTCGCGACGTGTCCCGACGTGTTCACGCGCCACACGTCTACTCCCGTTCCTCCTAGGCCGCGTATATTGCGTTTAACGAGCACTCTCGTCTCCGCTCGAGGTATCCTCGCCATATTTTAATGGCAACCTATAAAAATGCGCTGTCTGGCGATCGCGAGATGACCGAGCACGGCTCCTCGTTGAGAACGCGCTGGCGGATTCGATTTCTCGGCCCGCGTCCCGCACGTGTCTCGCTAAGGGGTCGAGAACTATGCTGATTAAAAAAACGAACCCTTTTTTTTTATCGCTGCCGCTGGACTACATGCCCAGAACTTTCCATACCCTCGCCCCATCTCAAACCTGTACCCAATTCACTTTGCGCACAGAAAACGTACGTTGGTTCAGCTATAAGAAAAAAAAAATACAGGTTTATGACGAAGTGGCTCAAGAGTCTTCCATCTGCCTTGACAAGAGGTTAAGAGTTACAGTAAGACTGTGGATTAAAGACGCTGGAAAATTGCGTGCTGAACGACCGGCTCATTCGCCACCCAGTGGTACTTTCAAAAGACAAAGGAAATGTAACAATCCTTCGTTAAAGGCTGGCCACCATACGTGGCGCAAGCTTGGAGCAAAAGAGAGAGCCCTTAGCTTTCGGTATAAGGAAGCTAAAGTGCAGGCATAGTCGTTTGAGTATTTGTAGCATTGGTCGATGGCGCTCAGAATCGCCGAGGGTAAAGGTCTGTCCAGACAAACTCGCACAGGTGCATAAGCATATGCGTAGGGAAATCGACTCGTCTATTTCCTTATGTGTGCACTTACGGCTGCGAAAGTTTGCCTGGATAGGCCCTGAGCGTAAGAGCCGCGGCAGGAGTAAGAGATAACATTGATTTATTTCCTCGCTCCTACTTCTTGTTCCAGGCTTACTCCGTGTATCGTAGACCAGCCTTGCAGCGAACTAGCGCGCACTGGCTGCACACTGCGGCCCAGCTTCACCAACGTTGCTCAGCTTTGAGCTTAGCTTAATTCGTTCTTTGTCTCTTTCCAACTGTTGTCGCTTTAGAGAGAGACAAACGCGAATCAAACTAAGATTGCAGTTAAAAGACGTTTGGTGAAACCGGACCTAAGGCTTGTTTATAGTCGATTCTTATATTTGAACATCGTCTTACTTTTTGAAATACTTGTTGGTAAAATGATCTGCACAGCATTCGTACGGATCATTTTTTCGGCTAAATAGTTCCTGGACATGTACTTGAGGTGACAATAAATATAGTAGACTCTGAACAAGGTGTGCACTCAGTTGAAGTTGCCGAATTCGCTGTTACATACGCGTACCAATGTGTTTCGACTCTTATAATTGAAGATGCAAGATCCAGTTGTTGAGAGATAATCCTGAATGTAATGTCTAGCATGTAGTATGCGACGAATAAATTGCGTCATTATTGGAACTTGATATGAAACCTGCGATACTTATGTCACGTGAGAAGAGTTGTAGGAACAGAGAATGGAAATGTTTAAGAAAGGCTTTCAACGTACGAGTCGTTGTTACTTAGCTTGTCAATTTTTCGACAGTAACCCGTAGTCTGCTTCAGATCTATCCAAGCACTCATATTACATTTTGTGTTTCAGATTGAGGGAGATAGCGGAGAAGATAAATAGATACGGATTTGTAACACCAGCGGCTTTTAATTCTTTGAAAGCGTCGGTGAAGCGCATTGTAGTTGGACCAACCCACATCGCTCTTCTTACGGATGACAATAGAATAGCTAGAGTTGCATTTACTGTACTACCAGACAGGTTGGACTTGAGTAAAAACGAACCTAACAGAAAGTAAGTGACGGGGGGGAGCAAGCGGCATAAAAGAGGCTGAGGTTTAATAATAAGAAAATCTCCATCTCAATGTAGCACGAGCAAAAGTCATGTTGGAAACTCTAACTCTGCGCCAAATGGGAATGGAAGTAGCAGCAGTGGTAACAGGACAGGGATGTCCCGCTCCCGTGCGCGGATCATGCGTAACAGTTCCGCGATACGTGGAGGCAGCAGCGGTGGAGGGAGCGGCAGCGGTGGTCGCATAGGACCACCCGGAGTTATTATGGGAGGTGGAAGTGGTAGCAGTTCTCGTCCTATCGCCTCTGTGCCAGCGCCGTTTGTCCCGGAAGATCTAATATCTCAGGCGCAAGTTGTGCTGCAAGGAAAAAGTCGTAATCTCATCATCCGAGAATTACAGGTTTTAATATTGATACTACCTTGAAAAAAAGAATGACCGATAAACGAAAGTACATAGCTTCATGAAAATTATAATATTGTAGAGAACAAATTTAGATGTAAACTTAGCAGTAAACAATCTTTTGTCACGAGAGGACGAAGAAGGTGACGATGCGGAGGATGCGGCAGACAGTTATGTCCCAGAGGATCTTATCTCTTTGTTGGATGGCGGCTTTAGCAATGAGCATTCGGTTATAATTGATGCCGATTCTATGTTTTCTGAAGATGTATTTGGATATACCGGGATAAGGCAGTAAATAATTTTTTATATATCTTATATAATGATGCAGAGACAAAAAGAGAAACGGACACATGGAGTATTTGAAAAAAGTAATTTAATCTTGCAGGCTTATGCTTATTAAGTTGTATAACAAATTAATAGTTTTGCAAATTCCTTCGATAAATAAATATTTTATTTTAGTAATATAAATTGTTAAACAAGAAAAATGTAATACCGTATAAGAAGAAAATATCAATTAATTAATTAATTATAGTAAACGTACGATAATCGCAAATATCAATTTTGCAAACTTTTTTTGTAGAAATATTTAAACACGTTTACTGTATTTTATCTCTAAAGCCTCGTGTCCAGGATCTCAGAATATTGTGCCCAAGTTCTAGTTCCGAGAAGCCAAAATTTGTGTAGTCACTCAACTTACATCTTTTACGGAATAGTTGCAAGTTGATTGGCTACACATTTCTTGGAACTGGACTTTGGGTACAGTTCTTGGATCGTGGACACAAGACTTGATAAAGAATTTAGCAAACTTTTATAGACAAGACTAAAAAATGTCTATCAAACAGTTGAAATTAAGTTATAAACTAAAATAAAACTATAAACTAAAAACATGTAAAATTTGATGGATACAAAAATGTTAAATAACTTGAAATGATACGGACAGATAATATATGAAAATTACTAAAATAAAAAATTGAAGAAATTGATCTATAGATTTATATTAAACATTTCTTATTGAATTCAGTAATATTAAAAGCCTGCAAAGTTAGTTTTTTTAAAGGTGTGTATGTTACTTTTGTATCTGTTTAACACATGTATAAGATCTTTTTCCAAACAAATATTTTATTTTTAGTCGTGGAAGTTCTTCGCGCCGCTTAGGTAACGACAGAGAAAGTGAGCGTTCATCTCACGAAAGAGATCGAGATCGTGATAGCTTCAGTAGATGGCGAGATCGTCAATATTATGGACCACGACGCTGGTTGGAAACTGCTCTTAAAGATTCGTGGGAAAAGGATTCAGGTATTTCATATTGAAAAATTGAACACATTTTGTTGAATATAATCGCAGTTTTCAAGTTGTTCATTTGAATATTCTAGATAACAAGAAAAAAGAATTGGCCTCTCAGAGCCCACTATGGATATCCGAAGAATTGGAGTGGTGGCACGATCGTAGTAGCGATCCGGTGCCCCGCTTTGTACAAATAGCATCACTTTACAGTGAACTAATTGCCATTTCTGCGTCTGGACAACTATATCAGTGGAAATGGACGGAATCCGAACCGTATAAAAATACAGAAGTACTTACACAGATATGGCATTGCAGTTATATAGATTTGTTATGCATTTTTGTGATTCGCCTCATCTTTTCTAATTTTTATAGAATCCCAATGTGCATCATCCGAAAACTATTCCTTTGGCACTGACAACAGAAAAGATAATCAATATATCAGCTACGGCAATTCGATGTTCTGTTAGCACAGAAAGCGGAAGAGTAGCTACTTGGCTCGATGAACTTTTGGGACATGTTGCCTCCCGCCTTGAACATCCAGCACAAGCGTTTACTGAATTTACATTGGATAAAATTGTGTCACTTCATACATGTGCTTTATACACTGTTGCAAGACTTGAGAGTGGAACGTTATATTGGTGGTATGATTTATTTAGCTTCAATTTATACCGTAAATAAATTTTGTGTATGCGCGCGTTTGTACATGTGCATACACACAGGTACGTTCGGCAGTGGAAAAATTTAATGAGTGATTCTACATAATAAAACAAGACGAAATTGCGATGGAGGCTTCGTTTTTTAGTTCCAAGTGTTTGGGAAATTGCGAAAATTCGCGATTTTACGTGATTTTTGTTATACATTATTTTCGTTTTATTTTATCATGTGGAATCGCTCCTTAAATTTTCTTCCACCAAACATCCTGTATATAAATATATATAAGTATGTATTATGCGCGCACGCACAAAATTATGTATACACATATATGAATCCTGTATATGCATTAAGATTTTTCACTACGTCTTTTAGGGGTGTTTTACCATTTGCACAGCGTAAGAAATTATGGGAAAAATACAAAGCTAAATCACGCAAGCACAGACCATCCACAGTATTGTCAAGTGACATTAGTTATGGAACACATGTTTGCATGAAAAATAGTCCAGTTTATCAGCCGGGAGCTATCGGTAAGATATTGGTATCTCGTAAATTGATGCAAGTATAGCTTAATGTACATAATACAGTCTTTGAGAGAAAGGAGAAAAGGGACGCTTTGAAACACTTGTAGCATTAAGTAAATCGCAGCTACATAGGTTTGATGGAACAATTAAATCGCATAATTTTTAACGTATGTAATTTACTTTAAGGATTTACAATAGCCAACGGTGTACCAAAAGTGGGACAATTGCTATCGGCAGCATGGAACGTGGATGCTACTTGTAGATTCAAAATATTGCCTGCTGGTACACATGTGTCCAATGCAAGCGCTGATAAACGCGAGTCTAACGGAAATGGAAGTACCGGAGTTGTGAACAAACCGAATCACAAGGAAACAGCTGATAGGATTGACATGCCTCCTCCGCCATCTCCAGCTTCTAGTACCTGCAGCGATACTGGCAGCATTACAACAAGTCATAGTAAGATATACACGTTGGTCATTTAAATTAATAATGTTTATAAAATATACTGCATTATTAAAGTATTTGGCTCGATGTGTTTAGCAATAAGAATCTTTATGAAGGAATGTAATTTCAGAACGACAAAAACGGATGGCACCTCGATGCGAAGGAGACTCTGATAGAAAGGACGAAGAAGACTGGCAATTAAAAGATGTTGTTTTCGTTGAAGATGTTAAGACAGTACCTATTGGTATTATCATTTATACTTCTGAACAAAATACTTTTTCACTTTACTTTAAAATGAGTCTAACTAATTTAAATGTCATATAAATTTTACGCTTTATTATCTTTTGACAGGGAAAGTTATAAAAGTTGATGGTTGCTACGTTGCGGTGAAATTCTTTTCAAAGGATTCAAAGGAGAAGGAAAAAGAAATTAAAGAGAAGGATTTTAACACGTCAGACTTTAAAGATCTTACGACAGAGGAACCAATGAAATTATTAGCGGATTGTAGACTTTTACGTAAAGATGAGCTACAGGTAATGATTGTTGTATAGTTATTTTATGTACTATATTGAATACTTAAAATATAATTCGCATGTGTACAGGTAATTAAATCATCATTAAATCCACGAGCTCCGGACTGTTTCCAAAGAACACCTAGAAGAGTCAACATAGTGGAAGGTTCAAACGATAGTTTATTGACTATATCTACTGATGGACAAGGTATTTTTAAGATTAATATTTTTACATACAAATTTTGTCACTCAAGATAAAAGCACATGAATTAATGAAAAGTATACGTACCATTATTGTCATTAATTCTAATAGCAGATACACATTTATTTAAATATTTCTTTACAGGTATTCATGCTATATTGAAAAGTGGCAATAAATTGAGTTACGTCATATACAATCTAAGTACTGGAAGATACGTTCAAGATTGTTATATTTCATCTGATATTTCATCATTTTTGGGGTTGCAACCTCAAAACATAAATCTTACGAGCGCTGGAGAGGTATGTTTTTCATCGATAACGTTATCTGTTTACAGTATCTTCTCGTAATAAATTGTAAATACATTTGTGAGTTATTTTTGAATTAAGTTTAAAATATATGTATCTTGTAATGTATGTATTTTAAAATATCGATTTCTCTCTATTTAGAATATCGAGTGTTCTATGATATTACGAGATGGTAATAATACCATTTATCCAATCGCGAAAGATTGCGCTGACGCCATACGCGACCCAAACTGGTTGGATCTGGCTCCGGTAAATTGTATTGGCGCAGCAACCATTCCTATTCCTAGTTGTTCCAATTCGTCCAATTTAAAGAATCAGGTTGCAGTTATTGCATTAGCATTCGACAATCTTTTGCTTATGCCCCGTATATTGCGATGTGATCACGAGAGTGTGAAGCAAGTATTTTGTAATTTGGAACAAGATTTAAGTAAGTGTAATGAGTATATGTAAACAGTAAAATATACGTAAAGTTTTGTCATCTATAGATTACGTATGATAAATTTTACAAAATGTGTATGTTTTACAGAGAACAATTTGACATATTCGAGTGCAAATTCACAAATTCAAATGATACTGAAGGAACGCTGCGATGGCAACCGAAATATACTTCATGCTTGTGTCAATATGTGTTCGCCAACTTCTAATAAAGAAACTGAACAAGGTAACGCGTTTAGCACAGCAATTTTATTACGATTCTAACGATATTAAGAGAATTATGATATATTTTCTTTACATATTACATTCGACTAATGTTCTACATTTAATTTGTTTCGTTAAAGTTATTGAACGTGAGTTGTCAAATACAGTAGATACTTCTGCACCTATCGAGGAGCCAATCCCGACATTAAGCTGGCCACCAGAAGCATTTGATAACACATCAGGTGAAGAGGACAGCTTATTAAGCATAGGTGCTGCTAGTATATCTATGATGAATAAGTCTGGTTAGTGTTATCTGTATACATGTGTGTGCCTGTCCATGTCACAATGTGTTGGATTTCACTCACATATACAGGGTATAACAGAAAGATATCGCCAAACTTTGGAGTAACATGCCTTATAGAGGATGAAAAAAACGTTATCTTTGCTCTCATAATATGGACACTTTGGCCTGGTTTTTTCCAATGTCGCTTAACTTTAACCTTATATTAGTTTATTCTTTATCTTTTTATGTTTCTTTAGAAAAAGACAAAGGGATGAGTTAAACTAAGGTTGAAGTCAAGTGACATTGGAAAACCGCGCTTCTGTTATACGAAACCCAGTAATAAAACTCTTCATGTCATAATCATTTGATTTATGGATGTGAAATCACTTTTAATTACACTTACATTACAAACGTGTCAGCGTATTCCTCGGTTCACTATTAAATCACATCTTCCTGATACAAAGATTGATGTTACATCTGTTATCGCGGCCTAAAATGCACCACACTCAACACTAATTTCCAGACAAAATTCACAGAAACACTATTAATAATAAGTAAATTTGACTTTTATATATATATAAATTTACACATATGTATAAATGACTTATTTCTTTTTTTATTATTTCAGCTAATGGGGCTAATAATACATATATCATAGATTCCGTGGAAAGACGACATAATGCATTGCTCATATTGAAATACTTGTGTGAGGCTAATGCTATCTTGACACCACACCTGAAGGAATTATTAACAGCAAAGTATGATTAAAATTCAAATACAATTCTGAAGCAAGAACGAACATACTTATTGAATTTATATTAAACTCCTTTAATGTCAGCATTGTTCTTTGTGTTAATTCTTTAATAATTTTTTACATATAAAAAGGGATGCTCAAGGACAAACTCCACTTATGCTCGCTGTTTCGGTCCGCGCATATCATGCAGCTCTTATCTTATTAGATACTATACAAAGAGTTGGCAAAGATGCGAAAGACATCTCAGCCATGATATTGCCTGCAGATGCCAGTCCAGATCTGTCTCCACTGTTTGTCACTTGTTGCAATGATACATGTAGTTTTACGTGGACGGGAGCAGAGCATATTAATCAAGTAATGAATATGTGCATTTACATACAAAAGATGCATCGTATGCAAACATGTTTTATTCAACTAAATTTTTTTTTTAATTTTAAGGATATCTTCGAGTGCAGAACATGCGGTTTAACAGGATCTCTGTGTTGCTGCACTGAATGCGCTCGTGTTTGTCACAGAGGCCATGACTGTAAGCTCAAAAGAACTTCACCCACAGCATACTGTGACTGTTGGGAAAAGTGCAAGTGTCGCGCTCTTATTTCCGGTCACCAAGGTGCGAGATACGACTTGCTGTGTCGTCTCGTAAATAGCACCGATCTTGCTACGAAAATTAACTCACGGTAAGTCATACAAATTATATGTGCACACAAGTATTTATACATATGTAGAAAATATTTTTGTTTGAATAATATACGATTACGTACATTTTATCCAGAGGTGAGAGCATCTTGTTGTTCCTGGTGCAGACTGTTGGAAGACAATTGGTCGAGCAACGCCAATTTAGATCGGCACCTAGACAACGATCAACTTCAGCTAGTCGTAAAGCGCCCACTTCGGATGGTATATTTTTTACATTTTTTTTAAATATTTCAATTGTAAGGATCTTTAGTTTACTTTGCACAAAACTTGTTCTACAATATATATCTTTTTACATTTTTATATATTGGAATTTTTATTATTATATATTTATATATTTATATATATATTAGTTCTTGGCTTTACAGGCTTGGGTGCAGATTCGGACATGCCGGATCACGATTTGGAACCTCCTCGCTTCAGTCGCAAGGCGCTCGAAAGATTATTGAACGACTGGCCAGCTGTTCAGTGTATGATCATGTCGGGCGTTTCTGAGAATGGTACTGACCAATTATTCGGCGATCAAGGGCAATTGGGTCGGCAGAGCGGCACCGCTTTACTAGACAAATTTACGCATTCTTTGCTAGTTAAATGCAGCGCCGAAGTAAGTGGAATAATACGTAGAGTAGAACGGTAAATTGTGCACGTATATACTTCTTTCTTATGCAGGGTGTACGCTAACAAATTTCATATCGTATTTACAGATGCTCGATACGTTGCTTACCACTTTGATCAGGGAATTGCAAGACGAGACTGTGCCTGGACGACAAGAAGAAGCGAATAATGTAGCACGCCGATTCGTGAGGTCCGTAGCACGCATATTTGTCATTTTCACTATAGAAATGGCACCAAACACGACGAAAAGGCGAAGGTAAAAATATTCATTTTTGTTATAAATATATGGGAAGTTTCAGAATTCGCTTATTAATGTCGATATAAAAACACGGTGAAAAAAAAGTTTGATTTTTCGTACTTCCAGCACAAGTCAAGCCTCGCAGCCTTTGATGAAGTGTCGGAAAGTTTTCCAGGCACTAATTAAATTAGCTGTGGAAGAATTATGTGAAACAGCGGATTCATTGATAGCACCAGTTAGATTGGGCGTAGCACGTCCAACCGCGCCATTTACGCTAACGAGTTCCGCCATTGAGGTAATAAATGGCTCGGAGGAGCTGTTTTCCATAGAGCCCTTAATACCTCACAGTGGCGTCAGTTCGCAAACGTTGGACGCGGCGCTACAAACTCAACAAGGAAACAACAATATAACTATGTCAAGGGGAGACGTCTCTGCTGTCGATGAGACGGAAGGTGGAGAAGGTAGAGCGAGATCTATTGGAATTTGAGTTTTCTTGAAGCCTTGTGTCTACAGGCCTGTGTCCACGATACTAGAACTTGGACACAGTTTGTGGACACAAGGCTTTATAGACCAATTTATATTCATAATGATTAGGGATGGGATCAAATTCCAAGTATTGCTTTTATTTTTAAGTAATCATTAAGAGTTTGAAACTACCAATAAACGTAAACCTTTTTATAAGATAATTAATCCCATCGCTAGTAACGATACGTGTCGCGTTTTCGGCCGCATAAAAATACACAAGTGTTTATTGTAGAAGTCCCTATGGATATGGATGGTGACATCAGCGAACACGAGGAATCCGGGGTCTCCGGGACCGCCGCGGGTCAACCGCTCGGCGAGGTCGACTCAAATGTCGGCGGTGTAGGCGAGGAACAGGCGGGAGATGGTGAATCAGACACAGAGTTGGATCTCCTGGCCGAAGCGGAGACTGAATCTGATTCGGATGACAATCACAGCAATCAGGATGCAGCATCGGCTCAGCGTAGCGTTCAAACGGGCGCGACTGCGGGTTCCGACGGTGGAATGGGATCGATATTACTGTTTCCCGAGGACGAGTCGGGGGAGTCGAGCCAGCAGGAGGACGACGAGAGCGAGGCGGGGGAAACGGACGAGCAGGATAACGAAGAGTTCCAAATTGGTGATGAACAATTGGAGCGTAGGAGGTAAATCGTGCGCCTTAATTCTTCTCAATCGCACCATTATCTTATCGGGCACTCTTTCCCTTTTACGTCACTGATGTAACTCAATCACTTTATTATACTTCAGCACACAGCTCCCAGTGGGGACTTGATTTACAACTTAACACACTCTTGTCACATCTCTTATCCTACGCGCAATTAACTGTACCGAGCATAATGCCTCCTACACCCCTATTTCCTTTCCTAACATAATTTACTCCCTCCACTTCTGTCTCTTTTTCTTTCTTTAGTCTTTATCCTTTTCTTTTGTCAAGATTCCTATGGTCAGGTTCTTCCTCATTTCCTCGTATCTTCTTGATCCTTTCTTTCGGGTGTGCCCTTTGATAAATTCTTCCTCCTTACCAGCTTTCCAAAAAGTGGATCTAGATCTATCCTTTCCTTGTTTCCATCCACTCTATCTCCTGCCTTTTCAATATTTTCTTTATTAACTTGTTTGTTCTGATTTTTCGTTGGTATAATCATCAATAGACGTCTTATTCGTTTCAGCGGGTCCTCGGGCCATTTGCACCGTAATAACCTCGCGCCCGTGTACATGCAATGGGCGATACGCAACCGTGAATCGAACACACGTACAGCGGGACTGCGAGTGACGGGTGGCAGCAATTTGGTGTTCATCGACCCTGCGTCCCTGAGACGCACCACTGCTACGTCGGCCGTCGCGACCGCGCAGGAGCCCATTACCATGGGGACCACCGCTAGTTGCCTGGCGCGAGCTTTCGGAATTGTCATTCGGCAGATAGCCGATCTACTGGTCATGATGCAAGATTACAAGAACCTGGCGCCCGCCTTGCCACGTTTGATGGAGATCACTTTCCAGGACGCTCTGAATTTACAGGTATACCGAAACTATTGTCCCCAAGTTCCGACGTGCCGCTTCGCATGTCCGACCAGCCTTGACCAAATGAATTACTTCTGCCGTAGTCGTATTTGGAAGCGCACTTGAAGCCCACGTGGGATTGGCTGCTCACGGTGATGGACGCTACGGAGGCGCAGCTGAGATTCGGAGTGTCCCTGACGCGTAGCGCGGACCCGACTCACCCTGAACACCCCCTCAATAACGCCCCGTCTTTGTCGGGCGGTAATTTTAGTGGCTTGCTAAATACAGCCGCGCTTTCGTTGACCCTGCAAGGGAACGCGGGTCGAAATCCTCGCGGTGGTATTACCACGAGCTCCAACATCTCCGCTCCTCAAGCTTCACGATTCACCGTTGGTTTTGCAGGCGTTGGCGAGCCTCCGAGGAGCAGTAGAGAGCGCGAAGGTTTACATTCAAATTTATTATATACGAAAATCCTTATTTTTATATCGAATGTCGCGATCCTGAGGTATATTGTTAACCCTTTAACGGCCGTCTTCTTTTCAAGAGTCACACTTTCGACTCGTAATCGAAGTTAACAAGTATTAAATATATGAAAACATTTTCCTACGCTCTAAACTGTCCCCAAGTATGAAAACTATCCAGAAACGTAAAAAGTTGTAATCTCTTTCCTGTTATTTTATCTGGACCTAAATTTAAGAAAAATGCTCCAGAAAATACTCTAATAAAAAATAGAGTATAAATTGTGTGTTTGCGCGATTTTCTTAATAAAAATCCAAGCAACTTGATAGGCGACATTTTTCTCGGACCTACAAAGAGAAATGTTACAATGTGTTTCAGGTGGCGATGCACACTCAGCGAGACGTGAATTCTTGTCGTATTGTCTGTCTTTGATGCGTGCTCACAATAGCGAGCATAGAGACAGTCTGCCAGTCTTGGATGTTTCTGCTTTAAGACATGTCGCTTACGTGTTCGACGCACTTGTGTATTACATGCGTTCTCTCTCAGAACCGCTCGCATCTCGAGGCGAGACTCAAAAGGAATCGGCCAGTTATTCCAGCTGGAATGACCAGGTAAGCGAAATTTAATCGCTTTACTCGAATACATCTAATCTTTTTTGTAGATTCTCTCTCTCTTCCCCTCTTCCCTCTCTTTCTCGTAAAGTAAAAATTAAAATTGATATGTGCCTCGATTTGAATTTCTATCTTTATTTACTGTGTACACGGTTCTTTTTCTTTACGACAATAGACACGTTACTTGGCACAAAATTCTTTTTCAAATACCGAGAGCATTGAAATTCGTAATTATCAATGTAATTGAATTTGTTCTGTGTAGGATGAGAATGACAATGACGAAGGTGAAGAATACAATTCGCCAGCACCAACTGCCATGGAGACTGACTCCGATTATCCGGATATACCCATATGCGGATCTGGAAGTCATGGCAATTCGACGCAGAAGGGGAGAAAGCATCCTTTTCTGCAAAGATCAGATTCTACCTTATGCCTCGGTTGCCCGCCCATAGATCCGTTTGATACCATAATGAGCGAAGCGTTGCCATTAGCTGATCAGCCACATTTATTGCAGCCACATTCGAGACGCGAAGATCTATTTGGTATTCCGAGACAACCAACTTGTTCTAATACAGGTGGATCTAGTCAAAACCCTTTGGAAGGTTTGCCAACTAGATTAGGTCTCTCTGTGCGCGGTATGGACGGTCAAAGTACCTTGGCGACTCCAACGTTCAGTCAAGTTGTACAAGGCCCGCTTTTAAATTCCAACTTGGAATCGAGACGAAATTCCATTTCAGCTGGAGACCTAAATTCGAGTTCTATCAAATACGCGGTAATGATTTTTTTCTATAATAATAAAGCGCATTCTCTCTCGCGTTAACAGCTGCGATATGTCACCAGTGGCACGTTTCCTAAGGAATTGCATGTATCGTTAATTCGTGAATTGTATTTCAGGAGAAACTAAAGTCATCTAATCACGCTAACGAGGGACACTCGTCTTTTGTAACGGAACAAATCATTGATAGAGCGCCGATTATAGTGTCTACAAATAATCAAAGTGATGCGGCAACGAGTACCAAAGGCAAAGACGTATGCAAAAATAATAGAAGCGTTATAGTTCGAGCTGGTACGATGTCGGTAAGCGTCGCGGTTATCATGATATTATTTTGGGCGAAAGGTTGAGGTCGTCGGCATTTAATATTTCACTCCGCTGCTTCATTTTCTAAAGGAATCAAACACGAGTAAAGTTGGTGCGCCGGAAATATTGGTTGTTCCAACTGTCGAGAGCCAAAACGTATCCGAAGAAGTCGACCCAGCTGCCACGAGTCACGAGATATCGGCTCATGAAACTGTTGAAACGAGTCCGGTGGAATCCGCCAGAACAGTATCATCGATAGGGACGAATATCTCCCATAATATTTTGCTAGGACGATGGCGATTATCGTTAGATTTGTTTGGACGAGTTTTTATGGAAGATGTAGGTTTGGAAGCTGGATCTGTAGTGTCTGAGTTAGGAGGCTTTCCCGTGAAGGAGGCTAAATTTCGCAGAGACATGGAAAAACTTAGAAATTCGCAACAAAAGGATATTACCATAAAGGTAAAAGTAATACCTATAAGGAGTATGATATATTGTGTTAATAAACGTTTGCGAGTTTAGGCTACGATAAGTCCCAAGTACAAATTAATACATCACGCAATTGACCAACAGGTGGAACGAGATAGAACACAGTTATTAGTGCAGACGATGAAAGAGTTAAATACGCAGTATAATATATATAACAGAAGAGCTTCTAATACTCCACCGTTGGCAGTGAATCGCGTTAAAGTGTTTTTCAAGGATGAACCTGGTGAAGGGGCCGGTGTTACCCGCAGCTTTTATACCGCGATTGCAGAAGTTCGTAAAATATTTTAAGTATAAAATTAGCATCGACTCGGTTTAGTGAAAAGACTAATTATTTTTTTTTAGGCATTACTTGCAAATGAGAAACTCCCGAATCTCGAAGCAGCGCAAGTAGGATCGAAATATACACAATACAATGTGTTACAAAAACTGAAAAGCAGAGATCGTGACCGTGATCTTAGACGACAAGTACGTTACGTTAACTAGTCAATGCGGGATTACTTACTGATTTCTTATGTGATATTTGTTTTAATTTCAGAACACACGTTCTTCTGGAAAGTGTCGCGAGACGCGTCGCGCTTTATCTTTTGACGCTCGTCTTTTCCACCCTTCGACTGCAATCGAGGGGAATAATAGTTCGACACCTGGTAGCTCATCTAGCACTCATCCCTTGCCAATTAATCACCCGAATAACGATCATTTGACTATGCATCAGCAACAGCTTGGTGACAGATTGTATCCCAAGGTTCTGTATATTTGTTGAAATATTTAAAATTCTTAATTTGTTCTGTGAAGAGTAAAATTTGTGAATTCATTAACTTCGACTCCATCTCTTTCATATTGTATATACAATTACTATTTGCTTATTGCAGGTGCACACTTTACGACCAGCACTGGCTGAGAAAATAACTGGCATGTTGCTGGAGCTGTCACCGGCCCAGTTGCTCATGTTGCTGGCTTCGGAAGACGCTCTCCGGCAGAAAGTGGACGAGGCGTTCGAACTGATTCAAAGCCAAAGATTTGACCAGACTCAAGATTTGACCAGCGAAATGCTGGATCTCGATGTATTTAGCTTGACCGAACGATGCGCGGCAAGTAAGAAAAAAATGGAGAACAGCATCTTGGATGACACTGAGGATAATGCTCCGCTTTTCTATTCTCCTGGTAAACGCGGCTTTTATACGCCGAGACAGGGCAGAGGCAGCTACGAACGGATAAATGCATTCAGGAACGTAGGCAGGTGAGTTTAAGTTAAAAATGTCTTGGTCCTGATGACATATTTCTACGTATAACGTCTCTTATATGTGCTTGTTGATAACAAGCGAATTAAAAATATGCTTGTATCGTTTCCAGGCTTATAGGACTGTGTCTCTTACAAAACGAGCTTTGTCCGCTATTCTTAAATCGCCATGTAATCAAATATATCCTAGGAAGGCCTATACGTTTCCATGATCTTGCATTTTTCGATTCTGTCATTTACGAGAGTTTGCGACAATTGGTCATCGATGCTGAAACGAAAGACAGTAACAGCTTATTTTCCGCGTTGGACCTTACATTCAGGTACAGGTACTCTTCTTTCTTTGTCTCTTTACCTTGGTATTTTTATCAGAATACTCATACGCGTGAGCAAGTGAAACACGCACACGTACGCACACATTTTCGTGTTTTTTCAAATTGCATAAATGTTACATAAATCGATTCTTTTCGATATTTAACATGTAAAAGTTATGGAGAAAATCAATTTACGAAACATTTATTTCGACATTTTGACACCAACAATAAAATATATCTCTTAATATTTATTTGCCGAAAATTGTTTTACTTTCATACAAGAAAATAATGAAGTGAATCGATCGAAGTAAAGAAAACTCATAATTGCATTAAGAAAAGTCTGTAGTTGCTCATTATACGCGTGTGTACACATGCTTGTGCAAATGGATTTGCATGCCTAAAAAATACAACAACGTAGGTTAATTTAAAGTTTTCTTGTATTTCTTATTTTCATAATTTTAATATTTTTATATACAGAATGAGACTGATTGGAGACTGCAAATTGAATCTGAATAGAAAAATATGGTTTCGCTTATAAAAAGAATATCGTTAACAATATATTACGTAAAAAGCGCATGCTCTTTATAAAAAAATTGTTTTGTACATTACATTTATGCTGTACAATTATGAAGCTTTGATTTCTTTCATTATTAAAAATATCCCAATTTTAGTACATTTGAGGATTTCGACATTCCCGCCCGATTCCGTGTATACAGTTTAAATGTTGAACGTTATTTTGCATTTCAGTATCGATTTGTGTCCCGAAGAAGGAGGTGGCTCGATCGAACTTATACCCAGTGGCCGCGACGTGGAAGTAACTGCGAGCAACGTGTACGATTATGTACGCAAATACGCAGAAGTTCGTATGATCAAAGTGCAAGAGAAAGCTTTGCATTCTATGCGCGAGGGTGTTTTCGACGTTCTTCCCGAAGGGGGGCTCGACGGTCTGACCTCGGAAGACTTGAGACTACTTCTGAACGGAGTCGGCGACATCAACGTGTCAGTTCTGATATCGTATACGTCGTTCAATGACGAATCTGGCGAATCGACAGAGAGACTAGTTAAATTTAAACGCTGGTTGTGGTCCATTGTTGAAAAGATGTCGCACGTGGAAAGGCAAGACTTGGTAAGAATTCTTTGCGAACCGCTCGCTTCTTATTCCTTTGAAAACGCTTGGTAAATTTTTGCGAGTCAATGATTTCGTCGAATTAATATTCACGTCCTGTTGCAGGTCTATTTCTGGACTGGCTCTCCCGCGTTACCAGCGAGCGAGGACGGCTTTCAACCGATGCCAACCGTGACAATTCGACCGGCGGACGACGCGCATCTACCAACCGCGAATACATGTATCTCCCGATTATACGTTCCACTGTACAGCTCCCGACATGTCTTGCGACATAAACTACTTCTCGCTATTAAATCAAAGAACTTCGGATTTGTATGAACTTAATTTTGTGACCGTGCTTGTACGTATACAAGACTGAGTCACATTATTGATAACGATACAAAACTTGGAGTTGTAAGTTGTTATTTTTTTTCTTTAGACATAATTTTTAACATTTATAAATTTATAAGGTGTAATTATGACTTTCTGTTCCTGACAAATTTTTATCTTCGTAAAGCTTTATGTTATATGAAGTGTCATATACTTGGTTCTCTTTGCCCCTCTCTCTCTCTCTCTCTTCCCCCTTCTCTCTATCTCTCTCTTTATAGCAAACAAATAAAATTTTTAAAAGCATATAATGTGAAACTTTACTTGCCTATTTTAAATCTTAGTTTATACATAATCTGTTAAAAAATTTAACGATAATCTGATTAATATTTTTCACATATTTTCAAATTCATCTTTATATGTGACGTTTAAGATACAACGTATCTCTTTACCAGAAAGTTTTACAATTTGGATACAATTAAAAATATTTATTAGGCATATTTGGAACATAGGGTGATAGGAAATTGCAGGTTTTCTTTATGCATCCCAATTAATAAGCTTCTCGGATACTGATTTGTTAATGTGAGTTAGAATACACATGCACGCGCGCGTGTGTGTATGCATATCTAATTTTAAGAAACAGTTTGTACATGAATTATAAAATACAAGATATGATATTTAAAAATGAATACACGACTTGATATTTAAAAACGTTGGCGGAGAGAATTCATCACCAACATCTATTCCCGTCAACACAGAAAGAGACTGGAAGATGATTGAAAGTTAAAACGTGACATAATGTAAGCAACACCTCATCCAATGTTAAATATTAATCTTCATTAATCTTGCCGAATATATGTTTCGAATGGGTGATAAGATATGTAATTGAAATTAACTAAGTATTAAAACAATGGGAAAAGTAATATAGGAATGTCAAGCTGCCTATTCTGCCGTACTGTTACTTTTAGTCAACAAAATAATTTTTTTTAATATTGTAAATGTCGTTTCTCCAGTATAAAATAATGTCAACTCTTTTACATTTAGCGCTGTTATATGTTTTACCGTCTGTCCAGAATCACAACAAGACAGACATCTTCAAAATGATTTGTCACGAAAAAAAAGGTTTGAATTTACGATTTTAAATATATTTGCTAAACGATAAACTGAAATAGTAAAAAATAATCTGTTATCTTTAGTTTACTTAAAAAAATGTGCCTACTGCTAATATATATTTATATATAATAAATCTCATTATTTATAAATTGCTAAAAATCGTAAAGTTATATACAATAATTATATTATCCATTATTTACTTGACAAAGTACCGATAGAAACTTATGTACAATGGTTACCTATTGACCACTTCCTGAATTGTTTTGGGATAATTTTGCTGTCGACTGGCTCAATTGAGCCAACGTTTCTGGAGTCGCGTGTGCTTTTAATATTGAATTTTCCGCTTCTAATTGATTGATACGGTCCATAAGCTCAGCTATCTTCTCTTTCAGTACCTCGACTTCTTCTCGTACCGCGAACATTAAGTGGCTTTTGACCAAATCCTGGAAAAAGATTATAAATGCAGTGGACCCATCGACTTAACGTGCGGCAAATAGCTCGGTCGCGGTGGTTCCTTACCATAGCCTGCTCGATCTTGTTATCAATCGCCACGGCGCTCGTCCCCGACATACTGCAACGTACATTTATTCATATAAATTTACTCATACTCAAGCGCATAAATAAAAAGAGGCAAGTGCACGATCTAAGCGACACAAAATGTTGCTCCGCCTCATCTTTGTACTATCTTGCCTCGAGTACCTTTCGTTATCCTCGAGAGCACGATTCTCGTCGCTGCCCTGCGTAACTTCGGCCAGCGACTCGAGGAGAGTCTCGTCGGCCGACTGAACGGTAGTGGCGTTAGGAACGATGCCGGGGATGGACTCCTGTTCCGGGTCAGACTGGTGAAACGCGATGCTCCCCTGCTGCAGACCACCCACGACGTTCGGACAGCCAGCCGTCACCTGCGCGATCTGCACCGTCGCGTTACCGTTGGACGTTTGCGGCGGCGGCGGCAATTGTTGCGTGGCTGGTGCAATCACCTGCGACTGCACGGGCGCCCCGGCCGTCTGAGGAACCTTGTGGATATTCTGTATGCCCTGTATTCCCTGTATGGCAGTCAGTGGCTCGGAAATTTGCGTCGGCAGGGGCTGCTGGCAGGTGGCTGACTCCGGCTGATGCTGCGTGACGAGAATGTTTGGAGCCTGAGAGGTAGGCGCGGACGTTTGCTGCACCGTCGGCTGGCAGACGTTTTGGACCGGCAGGGATTGATTCTGCGTGCTTACCGTCACGTAGGTCTCTTCCTTGGAGTGGGGTATGCTCTGCTGGGCCGTCACCGCGCTATTGCTAGTCTGCGTTATGATAGGGATGGAGCCTTGCGGCATACTCTGAGGTTGCCCCAAGTTGTTGGGATGAGTAGCCTGCAAATTGGAAGGTAACGTGGAGCCTTGACCGCCCTGTGGTGGCTGCGGCTGCGGTGGCGGTGGTTGCTGCTGCTGCGGCTGCTGTGGCTGTTGCTGCTGCGGTGGCTGTTGCTGCTGCTGCTGCTGCTGCTGCGGCTGGGTAACTATCGACTGAGTCTGAGGCTGAAAGTATTGCGGGATTTGCTGTGCAGATGGCTGGACCTTGGCCTGGGTCTGAACTTGCGTGGGATTATGCTGTACATTGGGAGGTATCGAATTATTTACCGTATAGTTTGCACTCGATACCGATTGCGCGGGATTACTCGACACGGTGATCGACGAGTGCACCGCGTCCGGGTGGGACGACACCGGGCCGTTAGCGTCGATGCTAATCCCTTTATCGTCAGTCACTACGGATTGCTGCTTCGCGGACTCCGGTATAACGATCCCACTGTCGGTCACCCCGTAAGATATGCACACCTCGTTCGGATCGGACACTTTGGGGGTGCCGATCGCCGTCGGCTGATTGACGGACGTGTGGTCCAGGTAATCCATACAAGTCCATCGTCCTCTCTTGAAGGGCTCGGTGCTCTCGATTTTCACCACTTTAAACCTCTCGTTCCTGCCGTGCGAGTGAACGTCGCGCAGATCGGCGTCCTGCTTGTCGCTGACGGACGTGATGTCCAAGGTGTTGATATTGCTGTCGTTGACCGAATTGCTCACGTTGCCGCCCTCGGACGGCACGATCGCCAGGCCGTACTGCGAGCTGGTGGGGATCACCGGGGCGGTGCTGAGGGCGGCGCTGCTCGTATTGAAGAACACGTCCTCCTTGGAGAAGGTGTCCTCGGAGTAGCTCGGCGTCTCGATGTCGAGGTCGGTGATGCGCGAGTGCTCGACGGAGTTGTCCTCCGTGTGCGACTCGTCCAGGTCGTCGTTGGAGTCCTCGCCGGCGTCATTGCTCATGCGGCAGCCTACGGTGACGCTGGTTATCTGGAACGACGACGTCTTCTTCCGGCTGCACTGGTTGCCGCTCGCGGCCTGCACGCTGCCCGGCGCCACAGCTGACGCCTGGTGAAGCCTGTCTAACTCGCCCAGCCGGATCGTCTCGGTGGTGGTGCGGTGCACGGGATTCGACAACTTTTTATTACCGTCTGACAGCCTGTGCGACTTTCGGTGCACACTGTCTGCCATTATTATGACAACTTAACATACGATTGCTGCATCCGTCCTCTCGCATGTTAGAATCAACATCGTAGCGCGCGCGCCCGGGCCAACTCCGGATATTTTTCAGACTCTTTCTCTCTCTCCTATCTCACTCTCTTTCTCTCTCTCTCTCTCTCTCTCCCTTACTTTTCTTCCCGTCCCCTTAGCTCTCCGATCCGATTTTAACGCGACCGATCGTAGTCAGCCGCACCACGCGTTCGCATTCCTGTGGAAAACACAAGCCAGGCATTCAAAGACATACTCCGTGCACGGTTGAATGTTGACAGACGAGCGTTACGTTAAACTCGCGGGGAAGAGGGGCGTTCGTTATGGAGCAACGTCCGTCCGTCCGTCCGTTCGTTCGTTTAGCCGCACTTTCGCGAAGGAACGGAGCCTTTTGCTCTCGCCGATGCCCGCCTGCTCGTCCGCTGACGATGACGACGACAACGACGACGACGACGACGACGACGACGGTGACAATGAGCACGTCGTCACGTTACTTGTTGACGTCCTGCTATCTCTCTCGCGCGCGCGACCTGTCCTCGCTTCTCCACGCTAATGATCACGCTTTATTTAATCTCAGTCGTTCAAAATTGCTGTCTCGTAACGCGAGGCCCATTATCCATATCCTTTTTATGTACTGTATAGTAAGTGGGCAGTTTAAAAATGGCTGCCGATTCATTCGTACGATTGCCACGAATTACATACTAGACTGTCCGCCTACACACCACAATTCGCATTGGTCTGTGAACACTGAAATATATCTATACTGGAAGAAGCACCGCGAGCTGCCTAAAGCCTTGCGTCCATGTTAAGGCAGGGTCTACAATAGGTGTAATAAGCCTAAGTCCCAGTCTACAATAGAGATTTAAACCCTAAGCCTTAAGAAATTGACTAATCACAATCGCGTATTCTACTCGTACTTGACCGTGATTGGTCAATTTCTTAAAGCTTAGGGCTTAAATCCTCTATTGTAGACTGGGACTTAGTCCCAGTCTACAATAGAGATTTAAGCCCTAAGCCTTAAGAAATTGACTAATCACAGTCGCGCATTCTTCTCATACTTGACCGTGATTGGCCAATTTCTTAAAGCTTAGGGCTTAAATCATCTATTGTAGACTGGGACTTAAGGCCTTCACAGAATTTCTCACGCGTTGGATTGATTGGAAGAAAATTTTCGACGAATCTATAGGCTTGTTTTCTATTGCTGCACTAGTGAACTAGTGCAAGAAAGCAAACCGCCGCGGAAACCAATGCAAATCCTTATGTGGGGTCTACAATGCGAGTCGCAGAGTCGTAGTCGTAAGGGTGGCGTCCCATGGAGCAGAATACGCGGAAGCGGAATCAGCGGATCGCCAATCGCAAGATCATTCTGATAGAGCCCTTTCACAAATTCCCTCGAAACCGTCTTGTGATTGGCGATCCGCTGATTCCACTTCCGCGTATTCCGCTCCATGGGACGTCGCCCTAAGAATAATCGACTGTGATTGGTCAATTCTTAAGGCTGGGTCTACATTGGATGTCGTAAGTCGTGTCGGAAGAAATTGACCAATCACAGTTCATTAGGCTGGGTCTACATTGGATGTCGTAAATCGTGTCGGAAGAAATTGACCAATCACAGTTCATTATTCTCCTTACGGTCGAAGAATAATGAACTGTGATTGGTCAATTTCTTCCGACACGACTTACGACATCCAATGTAGACCCAGCCTTATTCTCCTTACGGTCGAAGAATAATGAACTATGATTGGTCAATTTCTTCCGACACGACTTACTACATCCTATGTAGACCCAGCCTTATGCGTGGTCTACAATGCGAGTCGCAGAGTCGTAGTCGTAAGAATAATCGACTGCGATTGGTCAATTTCGTCAGACACATAAGAATTGACCAATCATAGTCGACTATTCTTACGACTACGACTTTACGACTTCTATGAGACGAGGCCACAGTA